TTCCTGCTATCCCTGTAAGCAATTTCTGTTTCTTTTTCCTAAGCAACCTGTCATGACAGATATCCAGGTGGCCCACAGGGAAAGTAGTGATATGTTAGTCCCAGAGGCAGAGAGAGACTGCTTTGCTCATGTTCTGATACTTGAGTTTTCACAACTTTTCCTTGCTGTGTTAGGAAAGGACTCATTCAGGACAATAAGAAAGAACCAGCTGCACTATATTGGAAAAAATAATAAATTGAGGAACAAATTCATCAATTGGAAGGGGTGATAGTACTGACCCCCTTAATCCCAGATTAGAATGTGTTGGAACATTCTCCTGTCAAACAAAGACTGTTCCTGTCCCTCTCTAGGGCAAGTTAAAGCCCCATGGTCAGCCCCCCCAGACCACATTAGTCCCTGTGCCAGCAGGCCCAGCAGTGGCAGTGGGTGATGCAGTTTTCTCATGCTGACACTACTGTGGTATATACAGAGCATTTAAATACCAACAGCACTAGAGCAGGAGCTAGAAATGACTGTTGATCTCTTTAGGGGGAGACATCTGCTTCCAGTCACCTGTACTGGATATGATTTGGAACAGCATTACTTGATGAAACTGTCATTTCAAACCAGCTGGTAAGCTCACGGGTAGAGAACTAACCCATAAGTATAGTATGAAACTTCTGGAGCACAGGAAGGAATTGCATGTTTTACACTCGCTGTGGCCTTAATGATTGAGCTATTAAGTAAAGAAGATATAGACTACTCCTTCTTTTATTTTTTTTTAATAAGGCTTCCCCCATCCATCTTTTTTGATGCCAAATTACTTTTTCATGCCTTATTTCAGATTGGTAAAAAAAAATCATGAAACATTTTTTGTTTGTTCCTGACTAGTCTTTTGCTTATTTTTGGCCAAATTGCATTACCTAGATCTACCTAACAAAGTGACTCTGAGAGAAAAGACAAGCTTTGCCTTGTGTCCTAAGGTTAAAAACCTTCAAGGCCACAAGAGAAATCATTGACGGATCTTCACTCTACTTTTAATCTTGTCCATTCCATAAATATAGCTGAGGGCTAAGCTATACGTGGACATAGTATTCCTGCAGAACCAGTCTGCCTGTGTTTTTGCCCTCCAGGTACTATGGAAAGCCCCACAGGTTTTCTTCATGAAGTTATCACATTGCTTTAAGCATTGTGGAATGCCTGCTGGTTACCCCCTCTCTATTTCAGGGTGTTGAATAGCTGGAAAACTGGGTGGAAGACCCTGACAGACTCCATGTAACCCCATGGTATGTAACTCCTAGTGCAGAATACGTATTTCTCTCCTAGCTGTGTCCTGGGGCAGAGGATATAGATCTGATCTCGTTCTTGAGTGTT